TTGGCATACCAGAAAAGTATATTTTTCACAGCCTATACATACTGAAGAGAAGCTGCACAGAAAATCCCACAAAGATCTTTCACAATTCATAAAGGCAAAACATGATTTGCGAGATGGTGAAGTCTGAACTGTCGTACAACTAGAAAGAACTCCACATTTCACTCTGTATTTCTACAGTGGAAGCTTTGAACAAAAACACAGTCTGTGTCTGTAGACTGTGTATTTTCATGAATCAAGCATCAGTGGAAAAATAACTCAGGGGTTGCGTGAGGATTGAGCCAGCAGGGATGGAGGAGGGAAGTGTGGACTGACTTTTACTTGTGACATTGTAAAGGTCAACTGCACAACAACTATTGGCATGGAGAGAACTCTGTTTCCAAAAAATGAAAATGGATCTTCTCAGAAACCAAGACCTCCCTTCTAGACCAACCATTTCCCCTCATCAGGGCCATCTGAACAAAATGAGTAGACCTAATCAACATCTGAGATCTGACAATGAAACTTCTTTAATCGTAAAATTAAAACTCTGGACAAAGCTGTCTTACATGTCACCTGGTTCTTGCTGTGTTTTTCCACCCAAACAATCACTGTGATTCTTTCTACCTGAAAACTTTTATCTGCCGTAACCAGAGAACTACAAATCCTTGGAGCCACATGCAGAACTAATTCAGACATAGAAAGTCGTAGCACTCTCCACAGATGTATTCAATCAAATCACAGGCAGTCTTATTGCTCTGGGTCTCCATGGAGATTCCACAGTGAAAAAACAGTGTGGAGTATACTTATCAGAAATGATTTATTGGCATGATTACTGTCTGTGTTGGCTGCACGCTGAAGAAATATGTATCAGGTGCTTGATTTATTAGATGTTTGATAGTAGTGTTTGCAGGTGATTCATCACACTTCATCTCCAAAGACATGCAGACACGTTCAAACCAAACATATCAGGGTCATATCTGCAGCACTGCATTGAAAAGCAAAGAATTTTAACAAAATGCATTTGGCCCTGGAGGAACACGTGCAAATGGTGCCTGTGACCTGCCCTCACAGAGATGTGGAGAAAACTGAGAGGTGGGGGACGGAAAGGGGGTAAAACTGGGTAACAGTCGGCTGCACATTGCTGATGAGCCTCTGGCTGAGGTGAATTTTCAAATCAGCAGCTGAGGCTACTAATAAGAATCTCTAGAGAAATTGGGGTGGGAGTAAGATAAGTGCCCCGTGTGAGTGGCTTCTCTGTGCACTTACCTTTGGACTGATTGCTGTCAGTAGGAATTGAATTGGGCTCTTCTGAGCTCTCCACATGATCCTTCATCTCCTCTGGACGAGTGGAGGGTGAGAGAAAAGAGAAGAATAGACAGGCCAGGATATTAGCAGGCAGTGATAATGAAGTAATATTTCAGCTCATAGCATGTGCAGAAAATCATCATGTACCAGAACAATCTTTCTGGCCTGTCAAGCCAGTTACACAAGTAGAGTGTAGCATTTTAAACAAAAGAAAAAAGCCTGAGTAGGTTTAAAGCCGACTCGCTGACGTCTGAGGTGAACTGAATGTGAGCAGTGTTATATTGTTTATTAAAGAGTCGAATTAAAGACTCAGATTAGTCTGTCCCCACAATACTGAGGACTGTGTTTATATAGATGTAGGCAAGTGTGTTGACAGACACAGTCACTGGGGGAGAAGCAGAAGTGTGAATAAAGAAATAGAGGGCAGGATGAGGACAGCAGACAGCGGGGACAGTTGTGTTCACTGACAGGTTTCAGCACTAGAGTGGGGGTCGTTCAGGGGGGAAAACTCACCTCTGTTGCTGGTGCCAGTGTCATTAATCTCAGAGACATCTGCAAAGTGGAACAAATAAAGACATTGATGTGTTACTGTATGAAATCACTTTATACACAGAGAAGCTGTGGACAAAAAGGAAGGGGACAGGGGTGTCTGAACAAAATAATGTATTTCTAATATTCTAAATTCTAAAGTATTTCTTTAGAACACAACACCTCATCACACGCAGATCACACAAAATTTCTGGGCACTTTAATGTGGCCACTGTAAGTGTATGGTGGTGTGTTTCTTTCAGAGGACAACCCTGCTGCACTTGGTTTCCTGATTTGTTCAGGTATTTCTTGGAATTCAATAATTCACAGTAGGTGGCAGTATTGCAACACTAACCATAATACCATATACTAGTAAAGAAGACATGATCACTAAGGAGGTGGAGAATCTTTTTTTTTCTAGAATCTATTTTTATTTATGTTATTATCACAGGCTGATAATTCAATTTTGCCTTGAGGTAAATTAAAAAAATATTTAATTTTATTCAAAATTATTTAAAATATTGAAATGCTTGGATTGTCATTTCAAAATATGAAGAAATGTGTACTAGCTAACTGCACTAAAGTATCATAAAGTATTATTAGTCTAATGTAGAGTAAAGCCTTGTGTTTCATTAATATTTAAAATGAGGCTGTCAAAATTAACCAGTCAGTTGTATTATGCAATTTTGTGAAATTAATCGCATTAAAATATGTAAAGCATTCAAACACATAATTGATATTAATATGTAACATTAATAATGTTGATATTAAGTCTCTACATGTTCTACGAGCCAACGTTAGGATAAACAGCAACGACTAAAATCCACCAAATCTATCAAATATTTAATCATGATTAATTACGGTCACAATCTATCCTAATTAACTGTGATTAATCCACAGCTACCCAGTGACTATCAGATTAAACAAACACAGCCCTAATAAAAATTTACTAATATTGTAGGATACAGTGGTGCAACAACATGTTCTGTGTTTACAAACACTGACCAAATATTACTGTATACTCAAAAACGACAAAAACACATTTTCCACAATACAGTTTGACAATAAAGAAAGAAGTAAAAGGAGAAAAAAAAGTGACTCATGCTAAATTAATTAGAGACTTCCAGGCCTGGAAGGCAGCCTGATGCCCTCAGCCACTGTCACACATCTCTTTTTTTGTCACCAAGTCACCGAGAGAAAAGCTTTGTGCTTCCAATCTTCACAACAACAATCATCCAAACAAAGCACGCCATAAAATTAACTGCGGTCCTTTGGGCGTTTCAGCAAAGATGTAAACAAATAGTGTTTATGCATGTAAGAAAAATGTGTGGAATATTCACAGCACAAAGGCTGCGGTGAAGGTCATCTAAATCCTCAGAGGACACGCGATCCCTGCTGCTCGTTTAAGGTCTCAGACTCAGATTTAATAAAACACATAAAATGATTGTACAGTGGATGCATAAAACCTCCGCTGGACTGCAACAATGCAGAATGTATTGTTTATTAATAACACACTGCTGCGCCGACATAAAACTGATTTAACACCTTGCAACATTTTGGAAGGAAAACTTCTTCTCGCTGAGCCTCCACTGGGAATCAGGAAGTGCTTCAAAGCAGGAAGGATGAAAGAACAACAATCTCATCCTTTGCCTTTTTATTGTTTTTGTATTTTTTTTCCATCTGAGTCATGGAAACTGTCCAGGGGCAAAAATTACAATATGATTCACTAATGCAAAACTATTCAAAGTTTTGTCCTGGTTATCAAAAACTTAGCGAAGCGAGCAGGAAGTCCAGAGGGGCAAAAAATGCAAAACCTGTCCTGAGAACTGTTTAAGACCTAACTCACTTGGATTCCTAAGCAGTGAAGGAAAATTACCATTAATTGTGCTGTTGAAGCAGCAAAGGTTTTACTATGTAAAAACACAGATTTGTACAGTGGTTTTCCAAGTTCTAAAAGTAAGTTTTGAAATGCGGGTGGAGACACTTGCATCTATAACAAACATTTCAGATCAAATGCAAAATACAAAACATAGATTTGCAGGGTCAACGCTGCCCTCGAAGATTCTAAATGTCAGTTTTTCCATTTTCTCCACATATTGAAATCAGTAATAACCCAGTATGATAAATGTCTTGATATATTTCTTATATCCACTCTATGTCTAAACACAAAAGTATAACAGTCTGCCATCACAAAATTAGACACCAACATAATCCATGCACGCACATAATAACTGTAATAATAACTGTAATGGAATCCTTGCTAAAAAAACAAACAAAAAACAAAACAACCCAAAACACTCCTACACAAATTTCACCAAACGTGTGTGGTACGTATACACTCACATCGGATACAATAGATTATGCATGTCTATGAAATGATATGTCACACTATTTCACATCATTACATTACAGCTTCTGAAGATGACGACAGGACCTGTGAAACATGCCTGATGTTCCGACTTTTGCTGGAACTCAACCTTTTTAATATCTGCTGTTTTATTGACGCTACAGTAGCAGGTGAAGGCAGCAGCAGGAGCTGAAGAAAACACTGAACTAATTCCAGATGTGCCCTACTACTTCCCCTCGCTCTCTCACTTTCTCTCTCTCTCAGGTAATAACAACACAGTCTTGGAGGCGGGCAGCATCCTCTTCCTCTATTATCTGGCGCTGATCAAAACAAAGCCAAAGGCTCAGAATTTCAATTGATTGCAGCTCCAGCCTCCCGTGACTGCCTGAAGCTCAGAGGGCACAGCAACATTTGTCTGTCTCGCTCTCTAATTTGACTCCTGTGTGCTGACAGTAGAGGGGCTATCATTTAAGAGAGGATGTGAGTGTGCGGTGGTAAACACATAAACAAGATGGGGTGCAGGGAGAAAAACAGGCCTCTCTCAAGGTTCTCACTGAACGGAGAGAGTCCACAGAGAGTGCATGAGAAAAAGAGCAGAAAAACACTGAGCAGTCTGGACTCCCAGAGTAGGAAGCACAACTGATCACCACCAGCTCCATCAAACAGGTAATTGATGTAATTTAATGTTATATAAAATAATTATCACATTTCAACAGCAGGGGGAACTGCAGCAAGTCACTGCAGTCAATGGGTGAGGGCAAGGTACATCGTGGACCACACGAACAAACAACTATTCACACTAATATTTATGGTAAATATATCCTGGAGAGAACACACAGGGAGAACATTTAAACTTCATACAGAAAGTCTCAAGATTGAAGGAGTGAACCACTGATATTTCTCGCTAGAGGGCAAAAAGCTACCACTCTTCTTTACGTGGCCTACATCATCACTAATAAGTCATACTTGATCTGATCACATCACAGAGGCAGAACATAGACCAACTGAGATACTTATAAGGCTTTAACTGCATTGCAATACCTTCATGCTAAGCCATAAAATACCTTCAAGGTAATTGTGAACTCGACAAGGTTCCGAACTCCTGCCTAATATCACATCAAACCCCAAATCCAGACTACTGCGTAGGTTTGTTCCATTAGCAGAAACCGCTGTTTGAATTTTAAGGAAATCTGCATTTGCTTGTCATCTTCATGTATTTTTAAATAATGGTGGAAATGCCTTGCCCTTGCGAAGGTCATCGGGAGAGGACTAATGTCCAAGTGAAAAGCGGCCGACTGAGCAAAAATTTTACGTTTTTTAAACTTTCACAATCTACAACTTTTTTCCTAAATTCAGGCTTTCAGACAGTCAGTGAAAGTATCCCAGGGAGACATCCCATCAACAGAGAGGATGGGATGTGTGTGTTCACACTCATACACAGACACAGACAAGAAAAGTGAGAGGAAGCCAGAGTGTGGCATAAGTCACCCTTGAATGCAGACAAGCAGAAAATTACACCCCGGACCTTCCATTCATTTATTAGACAAGCGGTAGTTAGAGTTTTGTTGGTCAGCACCAGTTTACGGCGAGACAATATTCAGCTGTGATAAAAAACGTGATTAGACGCCAAGTGAGGACTTTAAAGATAATCTAAATAAAAACTTCTACAGGACTTGCAGAAAGTTTCCTCATTATTCTGCTATTCTGGAACTATGTTTCTCAGTGTATACAGCAGTTGTGCCTCTTTTCTACCACTTTTAATGTGCCTGTCATTGTATCTCAGTCAGCCCACGGGGGAAGCGGTCCCTGTGGGTCATTCACATGGCAGCATGGGGACTGTCTCTGCCTAATGTTCCAGACAGGAGCCTTGAGCAGAACAGGAGGTTTCTTTTGTCCCTCAGCCACAGGACATCTCACTGCCTTTTATTCAGCTTGAATAAAAATCAAAGTAAGCATTAGACTTTCTGGCCACATAGTCAGTTCCTGAGGAAAATGTCGTCTGTTCATTTAATTCGCAGAGCAGGGCATGGTGAGCTGTTCTACTGTGACCGAGCATGTCCTGGAGCTTTGATCGCAGCCGATCACTCAGCTGTCCACATGTCTCCGTTCAAATAACTCAAGCTTAACTTCCTCAAGTATATGTTAAAGATCCCAATATGCCATACAAACGTAAATCAGTGAAACATTATGTTGTTTGCTGACAGCAATTAAGATGAAAATGTAGTCTGATGTGTCAAATTAATTTTACTATGATTTGTGAAAAAAAAAACAAAAAACAAAACAAAACAAAAGTACAGCCCCTCCCCCATATACTATTTACTTATAACATTAGTCTGAAGTATCAGTTATGTTTCTTTTTTTTAAGTCTGGCTCATTTTGATTATTCGCAAAGCCACAGGTTGCAGAGCCCTGCTGTATGTGACTTTTCATATATTATGAGTAGAAGACAGATCTGGACTGCAGGCAGGGCAGTCCAGCACCCTGACCCAATGAAGAACTCATGCAGTTGAAACATTAACAAGGCATGAAATAGTAGTAGTGGCTGCTGTTTACTAAAAAGAGTTTGTAAAACTACAGTATAACCATCGTGGTAGTACAGTATATACACAGGATTGAATGTCACACAGTGAGTTTCTAGCCTTGACCAAAAAGTCCTGGATTTTACAAAAATATTATAATTAGCTGAACCCAAAGAAGTTGCGAAACACTAAACTGGGAGAGTTCAGGTTTCTTAATAGCAATTCTACTGTCATCAATAATACAAAGAATGGTTTATGGACAACACCAGACGTTGTGATATATAACTAAAACATGGCCTGGCACTTGAATCATGTACCTTATTATTAAATCTAGTAGCACTTTTTTTGTCATTTATTGAGCGTTTTTAACTGTCAACACTTTACTGTTATGTGAAATGGTCACCACCTTTTATACTGTGTATGCTGTTGTCTGTAAACCAATCATACGCCGTTTCCCCTTACAGTCCTTGCTATCTTGCAAACCTCTGAAAAGTAAAATCAGCCCATTCTATATTTGGCACTATGTCTTATCTGGAAGAAATACAAACATTCAAACACAATTAGAGACAACTAAGAAACATTTACTGCTTGAGTCATTCTTATTGATCGATTAAAATATTTTAATTTTCCATGAGCCAATCAAAGACCTTTTTAAAGCTTTTGCTTTTTGTTTCTTTGTCGAAGCAGCCGGAGCAGCACTGCTGGCTCAATGGTACTTCATCTTGAAAGAATAAGATAGGAAAATGTCAAGGTCAGCTCCACTGTACCGAGAAGCTTTGCTTCCTTTTCGAGGATGAGGGCAGAATTAATTTCAGACCACAAACAGGGTGGTCTATGAAGGACCTTGGCCTGGTTTACATTTGCCCATGTATATTAAACAAGTATCTAGGAGCCCCTCATTGAACTCCGCATGAACTAACAACTTTGGGCCTGGTATGTCTACTGAAAAGATAATTGCAGACATGGCCCTGCTCAAGCAAAACAAAAGTGTGTGGACCTCAACAAGTACCCAAACGGGAGAATTAATGAGTGAGAAAATGTGGTAAGCAGAGTATTTTCATATGGTAATGCAAAGTTTATTGTACAGGTCTGAGAAATACTTGTATGAGCTTCCACTCCTAAAACACAACAACAAGGATTTGTTAGAAAGAGGTGTTTGAATTTGATAGCCAGAGTTTGCTGTAAGATGGAACGCTATCTGACAATCGCAGCCAATTACAGAGCACTGAGCTGTGACCCGTGCATTGGAGAGACGAAAACAATCCTGCTCAGAAAACACTCTGACCGCCCTTTTCTAATGCCACCCTTCTAAAAAAGCTCAGAGTCTTCATTAGTATTCCACCTTCCCCCTTCCGACAAAAAGGCCTAAGGAGTTGTGGACACTAAGTAGTGGTGTGTGCCCCAGTGGGCTCGAGTATCGTTGTAGTGGTGAATGCGGTGGGGTGATGGCAGCTCGGGTCAGGGTTCTCTAAACAAACTGAAAAGGTCCAAGCTCATTACACAGGCCTGGGCCATGCTTGACAAGAGGAGAACACACAAAGTCATCTGAATGACTGCATAGAGGACTGGACACCATCTGCTTTAAGGGTTAAGCCTCAATTCAAAGAACCTAAAGATAATGAAAACACAGAGGGAGACGGGCAGAGAGATAAAAAGGATATGACTTACAACATATGTTGGCCAGAAATAAAGGAAAATTAGTACAGCATGGAAATATTTCTAAACATTTCACATGGTCAAATGGAACAGGAAAGAGAGTGAAACGTAGGGATGGAGCGATACCTGCCTGATACTTTATTCAAATACTTTCATAGACATGTTACAATCCACAGAACTAATCCTCCGGAATGGCTTTTCACAACAATCAACTGCACACTGGTCACTGTCTCTTCTTAGAGTTTTTAACTAAAATCGACTATTGCTGAAAAAGCTCTGATTACTTTCTGTCCTACAGTGTAATCTTTATCTTTTAAATATTGTTTTTTTGTGTGCTTAATCCTTAGTTTTTCGATATAATGTCCACAGGTGGGTAGAGTACCCAAAAATTGTACTTAAGTAAAAGTACTGTTACTTCTGAATAATATTACTCAAGTGGAAGTAAAAAGTAGTCATCCAAATAATTACCAAAAAAGCTACTCAAGTACTGAGTAACTGTAGAGTAACGTCTATTTTTTAGATTTTCTTTAACGTGCATTCAATCATATCTTTAGGTAAGTTAAAGTACTTCAATAAAAATATAAATCAATGAAATAAAAAGAGTACACAAAGAGTTAAATATTTACGAAATAACTTAAATTACAGCACAAGTAACAAAAACTTCCAACCTGTGGACCTGTGGATAAAAAACACGTCTTTGAGGCTACAAGCAGATCGAGCTCAGCACAGAGTACTCATGTAACAGGGACAAAACTAACAGGACAAACATTCGACTATTCACAGCAAAAAGATAAAAAGATTACCGCAGCATGTTTAAAAGTTCTGTTAGGCAACTGGACGTGAATGTAATAAAAATTACCGCAATATGTTTCCTCAGGTTGGACGATGGGCTTTTAAAAGCAGAAATATCCGTATGTTTGGGTCGACACAGAAGACACCGCATGATTAAACTGCTGTTTCGCACTGTTTGTAACGTAAACAAACTTTCAATATGAGGCCACATGTGTGCCTCCTTGTCTTTGTTAGCATTGCTAACCGTTTCTGCCATTTTTTGCTGTAGTGGATATTGACCGCTAAACTAATCCGTCCCGCCGCCGAGATCGAGTATGGTCACGTGAAGAGACTGCGCAGTAAGGGCTACGTTTCATTGGTCACAGTCGCGTGGTAGAGCCTTGGGCGGAAGTCACTCTCTGACAAAATAAAGGTAAAGATACTGGATCATGGATCTATAGATAACAGAGAATATAGTTAAAGCTTTATCCAGAATCTCTGTAACGAGCTCAGTATGGCGTAATGTAGCGGAGTAAGAGTACTGTTTTTTCTTTATAAATCTACTCCAGTAAAAGTAAAAAGTATAGTGATTTAAAACTACTCCTAGACGTATTTTATTTTAAGAAACCTACTCAAGTAAATGTAACGAAGTAAGTGTAACTCGTTACTACCCACCTCTGATGTCTTTAGTCATGACGGTGTAACTCGTTACTACCCACCTCTGATAATGTCTTTAGTCATGACAGTGACATGACGTGTCAGTCTGAAGATTAAAACAGAACATTTTGTTTTCTATTGATTTGAAGTAGCCTACTAAGACAGCAGCTGAGTCATCTTTTTTTTTTTTTTTAACAATCAGACCTATCGGTGCCGAACCACTGTTCTTCCTGCTGTTCCTCATTTGGTCCATGCTGATGTAAGATGGCCGTAGTGGACTTTCAGAAGAAGATAATCAAGAGCGGGAACATCAAGATACAGCGAGATGAAAGGACTGTGTGAATAACTGATTAAGTTAAGATGTGAGAGAGGAAGCCAACACAAAAATAGACATAAAAAAGCAGCTAAAGCAGCCTCCCTCTGTGACCTACATACCTGCTAAATCTGCTGTCAGTGGTGGTCTGCTCCTCTCTCATCACTACCTGAATTACTTTACATAATCTTTAGACTCTCCTTCACTTTCTCAGCTGCTCATTACCTATTGTGATTTAATGTATCAGAAGCCAGACAGACAGCATTGTAGAGGATTGGCAAACGTGACACAAGGTGATGTTACGCAGGACACAGTGTACTGGAGGACAGCATTAACATGGGGAACACCACAGCTGAAGAAAAATGCAGGATGCATAAATAAGAAGAATGCCTTGATGGTTTTCAGAGGGGAGGGGTCAAGGAGGAACCAGGATCAGCCAGCTGACTGATTCACAGTCCAAGTGATACCTCTTCTGGGCTAAGGATTTCCACATGAATCATGGATCACAACTGTGGTCAGTAGAAGCATAGAAATATCCAGCATATAGCAAGTTATATCAATAATAGACACAGAAAGTCTAATGACAGAGAACTGAGAGGTTCTTCCACAAGGAAGCCCTGTGAGTGCCAACTTAGACATGCAGTACCACTGGTGACCAGCAGGTTCTGGCATAAAAACAACTCTGGCTAGCATTTCAAAGGTCTCTGAGTAAAGATTGAGTTAATGCATTTTCTTGCTGTCAGTACTGGTGACAGTCTACAGATTCACTAATTCACATAATCAATGCAGAGCGTTTCTGAATTAAATGTCATATTTAATCAACTGTTAGCTTAAAGTCTATAGACAACGACACCATTTGGATTAGTCACAGATAACTACAGGTTATACAAAACAGGTTATGCTGTTATACAAAAAGTTTCATTATTTTTAACACGGTTTCTCTCTAATTCTATCTCTATTGATCATAATTAATAGGTGATTAATTCAAATCAACATTAATCATGATTTACAGTGATTAATCCACTACTATGTGATTTATCAGAATACAAATTTGTTAGTTTGTTTGACAGCACTAACTTTTAGTCTTAACACATCAGTTGTCTATTTGTTAACATTGTAAACTAACTTCATTGATACCATTGATATATAAGTTGGCAGCAAACATGACATTAAACAAACCCGATTTAAACAACAGAATCGTACCAACGTACATACATATTGTAAATCACTTTATGTACTTATCACTGCATCTCCCTGTTTTAAGCAGGAGTTAATTCACCGACGTTAACACAGTCCTAATTTTCTTCATTTACAAACACGAATACTGCTCTGATTCACAGAGGTCTAGGATTAATCAGCCAGAAAGGGATGTGATTGAAAATGTCACCAGTTGAAGCCTCAGGGCTGTGGCCCATGCATTTTTCCTAATTGTGCTCCTATCTGTTTGAAAACCATGTTCTTCACTGAAAGCAGGATAATAAAGATGCAGCCCACAGTGTGACATGTCATGGTGTGAAAGAATACTGTTGTCAGTGTCTTTTTTGACTTTACCTCTGTTTATCTATAGATTACTGCCATCAAACTGCCTGTCAGGATACAAACAAACCACAGAGACAAGTCACCACTCTGTGTGTTTGTGTGTGTGATACAACAAATGTGGAACACATTTTAGAACACACATATTGTTGCGTTTCGGCTGCCTGAGAAATTCTCCACCTGCTCAGAGTTGTTCAATTTTTTTTTTCTTTTTCTTTCTCTTTTTTGTGCAAGCCTAACAGTGAGGTGGAGACATGATGAAAGAGCTGATGAAAGAGGAACTTCAAAGAGAGACAGAAAAAAATTGTCCTCTATTAGATGAGACTCTCTCTATGGAAACAGGCTTCAGGGGCAGAGGTGACCAACAGAATGGACAATGTGTCCTCTGTTACACTTTTTATGCTGTCTACATGGTGGACAGTGTCCTCTGTTTTGAGTGCAAATGTCGAGGACTAATGAACAGAAAATAGTTTCATTTTGCAGTTTACCAGGCTCAACAAATAAGCTGTAATGTGTCATATTATATTTTTGATTTTGTGTCATCCTGTAATCCTAAACAAACAACCGGTCAATACTGACATTTAGGACGACTGTGTACACTACACAAACCAAATGAAGTCCAATGGTAAAGTGTGCATTCACACAAGTAAAGATGAAAGTGCAGGGAGTCTCCTCTTGGCATCCTCACCCAAAGCCTCAGCAGGACTGTGATTGGAGCAGCTGCTGTTGCTGGACTTTAACAGACGGCACAAAAAAGCTATAAAACACCAGCATAGCCTAATGTCTTCAGCCAGTGGCAGCTTGCTCCCCCAGGAGCCACTCGCTGCTACAGTATACAGTTTTATTCCACAAGTTAATTGTGTGCTGACAACTCATAGCCATGGGAAAGACCGTATTGCTCTCCAGAATTAGATTTACATCACCAGGAACCTATTGTTCACAGAAGACCAAGACGAAAGGGCAAAAAACAACCAATTAGCCAAAGCTTGGAATCCTCCTGAATTCTGCTGTTACATGAAATAATATGAATGCAATGACTACTGAGAGGAACTGACAAATACTGGTCAAATTGTTCAGCTGCCCAAAAAACAAACAAAATACTTCTGATTTGTATTTGACGTGCTGCAGTAGTTTTTTGCGTATCTTCACAATACCTACGAAAAGGCTGCTGCGTTGGAAAGGAGCTGTTTTTGTCAGTGTGTTGTCATAGAAAAGTGTATTGCAGATGAAATGAAACACAGAGAAATCAATAAAATCCCTCCAAAATAACATTTGCAAACAAGAGAACAAAACAATGCTTGATACTTGTTAGCAAGGGGATTTTTTTTTTTCATTTTTGATGCTGCTCTCAAATGTTTGAGAAGCAGAAGAAAGGGAGAGCCCACAGAGAACATGCTGTGCATGAGGTTTCTTGGCACCTTATGACACTTATGGATGCAGCTAAGCTTTAAGCTTTGAGTCTCACACACAGGAAGCGGCTAACGGTTGAAACAGTGTCAACGGTACTTCACAGCTGCTGGCCACCAGGGTAAGAAAAACACTGGGATATAAAATTATGAAATTTTAAACACCATCCTTAAACAGGTGGGAAACTGGATAATCAAGGTGAACTAGAGTTTACCTGATTTTTTTTTTTTTTTTTAGTTTTACAACAAGTCCAGAGAGAAAAAGGTGGGAGGAAAACGAACGAGTGCTAAGCAGTGAGAACATCAGCTCCTGTAGCCCCTGGGCTGATGTGATGGTGGCTTTTTCTCTCTGTGGTGTTGAGACTGAAATTGTTGTGAAGGCCTGCTGGGTCTGTGTGTCCATCTATCCATCTGTCTGTCTGTCATCCTGTCTTCCTGTGTCCTTCTCCCACTCCTCCGTATAGATTCCCTCCTACCTAGCTTTAGAATGCTAATACAGCTCATCCCCACCTTGTTGGTGTACTCTGCACCCAGCCAGTCTCAGGTAGAGACCTCCACCCCACTGTTATATGCTCTGCTGTGCCCTCTCTGAATAGTCAAGGAGCTTCTTTTATTCTATTGTCGGCCTCTGGGCCAGTCTTACTGAAGGTGGGAACACAGAGTCTGAAGATCTACAGACAGAGATCTGTCTGTAGAGGACACATTTAGAAAGCTGACCTTCATTTTCAACCGTCTCCACGTCGTAACATTTCCGTACACCACAAATCTGTTTTGGGTGTTTACTGGTGGAATGCATTATGTGACAAACGTTGAAGTCACTCCGATTTTGATTGTAAAAGAAGAGTTGCTGTTCACTCACTGGCATTGAATCTGTGCAGCCATTAAATCTTACCTTTGCAACTAAGATAATAGCTCTGCCTGCTGTAGGAGAATCACGCAGCATGAAGGAAAAACAATTTCTGTTTGCCACTCAGATTTATTTATTCCTAGCTTTAGGCAAAGACAGTCTTATTTTAATTTATGGATGCTTCATGAGCTTACTGAAGCGGATACCCACTTTCATAAGTCACCAGAACAAGGCTGTGCAGGACAGATATTTCAAATGCTCCAACAATATGCTGCAGCCTCCACTCCCGCTTGAAAGTTTGTTATGAATATTCATAAATAAATGCTGCTTAGATCCTCATTTCAATTTAAGGACGCTTTATAGCCCGCCAAATATCAGGCCCAGAATCTCATCGCCTGTGAAGAGAGGTATCCAATACATAAAATATATTTGTATAATGGAGGCGCAGTCTGATTTAGTAGTAGAGAAATCTCACCTATGTTTTTCTCTATACGTACACCTCTACACCACACAAACCCCAGAGGGTGAAAAAGGAAACTACCTTGTTTCTGATTGGCCCTTAGAGCCGCCTCTAATCCTGCAGTGAAGTGAAGTCATTTGTTAAACCAGGAACGGCACAACTAAATGCTTAAACATAAGCATATTCATATAAACACACTTGCGATGTAAACAACAGATGGTAGTGCCAGGGAAATAAAAGCTACATCTACATATACTGTATGGAAATGTGCGTAGACTGAATAAATTATTACATTTCAAGTTTTAACGATGATGGCAGCGAAAGAGAGTAAAACAGATTGCAGCTTTCTTTAGGTCCATGTTGTTCGAGGCTTAGCTGTGAAACACACCTCCATATGTGCAATAGTGAGAAATGTGAGAACAGCAACACGTCAACAGACAATCGCCAACAACTGAGGAGACATGGATGTAATTGTGCGAATGCTGAGGACGATACGTGAGAACTCTCTGGAGACACACACGTCTAAACACTGACCTTAAATATAAGGTACGTGATGCAAGACTGTGATAATTCCTCCAGGTAGAGAAAGGCTACATTTCTACAAAAGTAGCGTCTCTAAAAATGCAAATCTGTAAAAGGAATTAAATAGTAAAATCTGTTGTTTGTTTATTCCCTGCTACCCTTATTAAAAAAGATAAAAGTTTTTTTTTAAAATCTTTTTGGTGTTTTTAATCATATTCTAAATTCTAATGCCTGCACTCAACACAAACACTTGGGAAATAATAATACTGAAGACAAATTATATCCTGGGAGTTTATAAAACTAGGAGGTTAACTGGTAACAGGTTTCAGTGTTAAGACAAAAAGAGCACCCAACAAAGGCTTCGGCTTTATAAACACAGTGGGGTGGGGATCATGAGGAGTTAATGTGATTATTTTGAAAAATGAAATGATTTTTTTCTATTCTAGTACCAAACATTCAGACCTGTCACACTTAATACTTGGTAATACTGTAAAAAAGCTCAGGGAAGCAGGAAAAATATCTGTGTAAAGTGCAGAAAACCTCTGATAAATGTTTGTGACCTTTTGAGCCAGGGCTGCTGCATTAGACACAGTAATGGACCACATACTGTAAGACTGATACTGTGCTCAGACACCACTGCACTTCAATTCAGTCCTGAGGTTTTTTTTTAAATTACACAATCAAAAGGATATCAATAATTTTGTGTAGCTTTTTTTGGGTCTGATATCAACTGATACTGATGCTAAGACAATACTAACATTACATAGAACCAGTCTAATGATGAATAGATGTGAATGTTAAGGGATAAGTGCATTACACAAAACTCAATTTTTTTTTATCTCAAATAATAAATGATCTCAAATAATCTAGTCTGTACAAATGTTTCTAATTTTCCTTTTCTTAATTTTACTATTTCTTTCTTTAAACATTTTACATTCAGTGATTAATAAATTGGATTTTCTTGGTGAATTGCCCAAGTCTGTTTGTAATAAATAACCAGTGCAAATAAATACATAATGTTATCTATCTTTGTAGACACATTTAGCAAATTGGCAGCACTATCTTATTTCTAAAATGGCGACTGTTTGGTAAATATCTGCCTTTGCACAAACTGAAAATAATTGAAGTTATTAATTATTTATAAATGTTAAGATTTTGTCTTAAAAAATGACAAACTTTTTTCTCCACTAAACAAAAAACCTGAGCACATCAACCAGCACATCAACTACCACTCCATCATTTGTGAATATAATGAAATGATACAGAGTCAAAATAGGATTTCACAACCAATAATGAGGCTGCCCCCAGGCTACCCATGGGTTTAGAGGTGGAATGTGTTCAATGAATGGAGTTATAGTAGACGCACACAAGTCTAAGTGTATATGTGTGTGTGAGAGGTTTTTGTACAGCTACATAACACTGCTATTGTTGTGCAGGGACACTGTGTACTTTGTTGTTAAAGTTAGGATTAGGGTCAGGTTTGAGTTTGGAAATAATCAAAATTAGGATTAGGAATATTAATGTTAAATTCGGGGTTAGGTTTTTTGATATTTGTACTAGGTCTTTGTGCAGTTCTCAAAACATTTCACGAAGAGTTCTGTCTTTGTTTGCGGGCGCGCGTGTGTGTCTGTATTGGCCTGTGTGAGATTGAGCATTGGAGACAGTTTGGTCTGCACTCAATCCAAGGACTTGCTTTTCCATACAAAATGCAATCTGCCTGCAATCTGGACTGACACCACTATTTACCGTGTGACAGTGTCACTGTGAAGCACACGGCACACAGTATCACAACGACAGGCCCGACGCAATCAACAGGCTGGAGTGAAGCCTTCTACTGATGGAAAGGCTCTAGTGCTTGCAGAACATTTTTCAATGGCTTTTTCACAGAAGATGGAGAAGGCCATCTCACACGGATCCATCTGGAGTGTTCGTTCTCGCCCTAAATTAATTGAATGTCAGTCAAAGAGAATGCGAAACACGTGTGAGAGTGGACTCATATTAGTTCAGTGATGGTCAAGGTTGGTGTCCACTTATTTAACCCTTCAGTTTCTGCAGAGGATGGATATAGGTTTAGTGTGTCTGTGTGTGTGTGTGTGGGGGGGGGGGGGGGGGGGGGGGGGGGGGGGGGGGGGAGGAGGGAGTGAACAATAGGGGTAAATAAAGTCACATATTCCATGTAGTTAAACGACGAGGGTGGGAGCAACAGCGGCAGCAGCAGTAGCAGTATAGAACAGAATTCTTAATAAAATCCAGTGTCTTTTAAAAAGTGGGGACAAATTTAAACTAACTACTTTTATCTTAGCTTGGCAAAAAAGGAAATTTGTGTAACTGTGTGAGTTATTACTTGTACAAATCTGATAAATTAAATAGGAATGTAAGACTGTAGAAAATAAAATAAAAATGTTTTATGTGTCCTTTTGAATTAATTTAATGGCCCAACTATTACTGCAATGTACCAGGAAAACAACAACAAAAAAATAATTTTTGTAGGACAGATCTTTTACTAAAGTCTTTTACAGTCTGTTGACAAAGACTGCTCCTCACACCTCGGTTTTATTTTATAGCTTCCAGGAACTAAATTGCAGCTTGAGGCTTTCTGCATCGCCTGCAGATATGTGGCTCACACTGAGACAGGAGTGGCAAATTCGATCTTTCTGAGGCTTAAGAAGAATTTAAGGGAAAAATCACTTTGACAAATGACAGACAATGGATACAAAACTGACCCTAATAATTTGATTCCCAGGAGTACAATTACAACCAACCGTATGAGGAAATCAGATCGACTCAAATCCAGGGAGAAAAACTCTCCATCAGGCCAAATCTTACCTTCCATCTCCACCGTGGTTGCTTGACTGTCTTCATCTTTTGAAGCAGGTTGATCTTCCTCTGCTAAAGTAAAATAAAATAAGCTGTTGTTGCTATTTCACATGTAGTTATTACAGAAAAGTGGGAACACTCAAATGACATATATGTGTGATTTTGTCTGTTAAGGTACGGAGGAGCTCGCTGACATCACGTTCTGTACCATCTCTGATCAGGGTGCGGCATATTTCAAGCCGCAGATGCGACTGTAAACTGCACCTGAAGTCACGGAGGAATCGGTGAAGGCCTTGTTGCTGTGCCCTGAGGCAAAATGACAACTTGCAGAAAACAGATTATTGGAGCTGCTGACAACTGCAACCCAAGAATTAGGAACAGCTCTTGTCCCTGACTCAGTCTCAGGGTTTGTGTGTATGCGTGTGTGTGTGTGTGTGTGTGTATCCAAGTGTACCCATTTGATTCGTTCTACCCCAATTTAGCTCAAGAGTCATAGGTGATCACCCGATCAATCCAACCTCATTCTCAAACACACACACACTCTGGCTTATTTCTCCAAATATCACTTTTACTGCTTTTACTTCAAACACTATGGCTAAGTGTAATTGATTGTTCTGTTCTAACCTAACAGGGTCCTGCTTCTTGCTCCACCTGCTGTTTACCATTTCCAGTTTTTGTCTCCTGAAACCGCCCTTGTTGGCCACATCAGTCACTCTGCCACATTAATCTTCCACTAACTCTTAAACCTGCCCTGCTACATCCAACCAGCCTCACTGTATTTTTCTGAAAGCACACCTCCACACCCTCCCTCCCCATTCTATCCTCTATATTCTTTTGGCATGAAACCAGCCTTAACTATAACCTGCTCACATTCATCAGTGTTCACCGCTGTAGTCCAAACCTGACCTGAATAGAACAGTGTTCTGATTCCCAACCATGATTCAAACCCTTGTCTCTGCTTTTTCCAAGAATTTTAAATATTCAATCATACATCAGTACGTCAAAAACATATCCTCGATTCCGGTCTAAACACCTCTGAATGTGGTGTTCCATCACTGCTTCTGTCTCCGGAGAATTCTGGAAGATGTTTTCAGTCTTCTTGTCAGTAGACTAACTCACTGCCCTGCGCTCAGTGAAGCTGGTCTGAAACTAGTGGGCTGAGGTTGAAGCCTCCACAAACTAGGGGCGGTATTTGAAACTCCAACTGTGTTTACAGATAACACTGCGTGTGAAGACTATGTATTAGAGCAACGATAAGTAGATGGAGGATCGAATTACAGGATAACCAGGGTGCCACATTCTGCCCATGCATTAAGAATTTAATTGGGAATAATCTTCATAAATGAATGATCTTCCGGCCTATTAATGACTAAAATCTGACGAAATGTAAAATGTCCTAAAGTACCTGTGTCTTCTTTGTTCTTGCCCTGGTTATCACCTTCAGCCGTGTCATTAATTATTTCCACTTCTTCCTTTTCTTCCTGGTTTTCATTTGTCTCTTTCGTCTCCTCTTGATTTGGCGCATTATCTCTTGTATCATCCTCTGTTGGCACACAAGCGTTACAAAGTCAAGACAATTAGAAAAAAAACTAAATATTAAGCATTAATTTAAGCTCAGAAAGTCCAGGCCTGAAGGATAGAAGGTGGTTTGTATGTTTTTCTTCCTCCTCATGTAACTGATTGTTTTCTAGTCAAACTGTATTCTGGCAATGTTGAACTTCAGGGAAAATAATTAAAATGAACAACAATGATACAAAATAGTGATCACTGTTGATTATTTACTGTAACTAACAGGTCCGAGCTTGATAAAAAATATCCGAGGCCACACAAATAACCATCTCTAAAATCTGTGTTTTGTTTTTTTTTTTTTTTGTTTTTTTTTTCGCTGCATGCTTAGCAGAATTAGCCTTCAGGTGTTGTTATTAAACCATACACTTCCCTTTGTGCCTCTGTTGGCTCGCGGCTCTGTTTGTGTCTCGTGAGAAAGTAATTACTTATCTTCAGTGTTGGATATCTTCCCAACTCTGCATTTGCCATATCGCCAGACAAGAACATCTACAAAAATTCACGCTCAGAGAGTCTCAATCTGTCAAACCTCTGTCAATGGGCTGCGATATGAATAAAGCAAAAACAGAAAGGAGGCGAGGCGCTACTCACTGCCAGTATGCAAATGCATACTCTTAATTATATACCAGCAGCATGGAGAAGACTCAGGGGTAGAGCAATGGTCCTCGCGCAACGACAGTGGTTGTTTTACATACACACCCACTAGTTATTATTTAAAAATCTCTTGTTGAAATACTGACATGATTCAAAGCAGAAAGGCTGATGATCTAGACTGTGGTTTTAATGTTGTTTTTGTCCATGATTTACAGATTGATGTGGTTCTCGTGTGCCGACATGCTCACAGCACTACAGTGCTGTACGTGCCTAAAGTGAAAAGCCATTCACACTTAATGGAGACCACCACTTGAACCGCTCCACATGTACTAACCAGACGGAGTGTGCGCTTTGGAAGCTACACAAATGAACAAAAATGCCTTCCCTCACTTTACTTGATGCAGAACCAAAAGGAAGAAAAAGAAAATAGCAAAGACAGTGGAAAAGTGGAGCTTGCTCTGAGTGTTTATATCCCCTGAATGCATTAATGGCCACCAGCGCTTTCTGATGTCCTTGCCGAGGAAAGTTGGAGGACGGTAAGGACCATAACCTGGACATTAGAAATGGCTGAAGGCAGTGGGAGCCTAAGGTGAAGATGTGAAGTTGACCTTTTAGCTGAATTTGAAGTCCAGTAAACTATTAGGAAAATGCTTCCCGCCTTTTTGTACAGAATTGTTTTCATAATTGACAGAACACTTCACTAAGAAATCTATTTTGCCTACATCACTGATTCTTACAAATCTCTCTAAAACAAATACATGAACACACGTACGACTTTGCAAACAAGGCTCAGGATTTAGCTTTAGACTCTGAATTGATGGAACAGCAGGTCACTACATGTCACTCATCCATTTCTATTTCAATCTCAAGAAATAAGAGCCAAATAGATGGACACTTCTTTCCTCTTGGTGAACGTCATTTTAATAAAGTGGCCATCTAGACACAAAAAGTAATTCTCATCCATAGAATACCTGGATTTTGACTAGCCATCTCCACGTCTTCTTCTTTTTCCTCTGCATCTAGAGAAAATGGGAGGAAAAGCGCTCCAGTTTAGTTCCAGATCTTGGAGATGAATCTTCCAGTCTTTTGATATCACTTCACACGTCCATTTTATTCCAATCGTATTATGTAACATTGTCATTACATTGCAGTGTGAGAGCAATGGAACCACATAGACTTGCATAAATTAAGTGGCAATAAAGAAAGGGAAACGAATGTCACTTCTAAAGCCATACATTATAGAGGGATTCCTTTGTTCCAAGCTTCTTTGATAAGAGAAAACTTTTTTGTTACACGAGTGACACACCAGACTGAGCTGGAGTGAGCAGAAATAGTGAAATTTAATTTTTGATGACAAATGAGATCAAGAGGCTGTGGTAGAGGCTGAGAACACATGTTAATGGTCCGTGGAGCCACATTACCATTGTCACCTTCTTCTTCATCACCTGTTTCCTCTTTACCTGAAAAGGCAGAGAAAAGGAATCATCAGCTGTATGCGAGCGTGCACAGGAATAATACCACTCATTAATTCTGAGAAACAAAGCACACTAATGATGGCAAATGATTCATCTTGAGGGAGCCGGCCTGTTCAAACAGGAACATCTACTTCCTGTTTCACCAGCATCACCCTCTGTGTGCGTTTGAACTCCAGACTTTTCCCTTTCATTGATTAAAATCTGACATGTTTCCATCCACGTTCAAGGCTGTTGGAAAGGGAACTTACTTTGAGTCAAACGAGATGTGTAGCAACACAACATCATTAATCGACAGTGACCAGCAGTGAAACAATCTCAATATTTCTTAGCAATTTAATCACAATGACTAAGGTCAGAAATATCTGAGCACCGTTGGATAATTTTCTCCTGTGTGCCAAATGCAGACATGTCTGTGGCCCATTAGGTCGGGTCACATTAGTTGTCAGAGAAAAAACATCATCGTCAGAAGATCAAATTTACAGCAGCACCTGCTGTGACAGCACAACAGCACAAAGCTGCTGGAAACAAACGCCACCTCTGTCAGCAAGATTACAACCCCTGTCATAAATATATGACACATGGCTGGACATACAGCATAAAAACTTAGAAACAAATACTTTCATTATATGCAAAATGTATAGTTAAGAAAAGAGCAGTTGACCTCGGGTCAGACAGGCCACTAAACCAGACAATGAAGGGGCAATCCTATTCTTGCAGGCGGCAAACTTCCAATGAGAATCATTCGATTTTTTTTTTAAATAAAATGGTACAGCATGGTATTGGTATTGTAAGGTTAAAAAAACAAACAAACAAAAAATAAAATAAATAACAAATAAGATATTTAGGGCTACACAGTGAAACAGAATGTGTACCAGTGTAAAGCACAAAACATCAATTAATGACTTAGATTAGAAATAGAAGATGAAACATACAGTGTTAGAATGTAGAAATTGTAGTATCAAAAAGAAAACACCAAAAAGATCTACTACTGCTGATGTATTCTGAAGGGAATTAGGACTCGACCGTGTTTTTATACCGGATGCCCTCATTGATGTTATGCTACCCTGACAGGGATTATTGAAACTTTTAAAAGTTAAAAAGTGTGTAACATATAAAATGGCAGCCGTGAATGACACAATGTCATTTGTTATGGCTGTCAGAGCCATGTTAGCATCGCTAACAAATCTGTCTCTGCTGGCTTTCTAACCTTCTATCGCCATAGATGGAAGATTGAGGAGATTATTCACTGTTATCTCGGTGATATTCATAGAACCTTGTAGAGAACCCGGTTCTCTGAATACACAGTGCTAAACATTGACAGAATTGTGTTAGTGCCTCTGTCAGATTGTAATTAGGTGCAGCGTTGCTTTGAGCTGAGAGATAAATTTAGTTACCTTTACATGTCAACAGCTAAGATTAGCATGATAATGTTTAATGCATTAAACACTGTAGCGTGTTAGGTACACAAAAACAAATGTGACAAATGAATAAAGACTGTAAAAATATATTTAAATACAATTTTTTTAAAATATAGGCATTTTGTTTTGATACTAGTTAGTATACTAGTATAGTATACTAGTACTATTACTATCTTGAGATATTTACCACTGTACTTACCACTGTATTCTAAGCATTATTAGTACAATTATAATTGTTAGTACATAATCGGTTTCCAGCTTAATAGACCCACTACAGTAAGCTAAATACTTATCTTTAACTTTTACTTAGGAAACTGATACATTCATTAACCAAATTAATGCTGGCAAACAAAAACAACAACAACAAAAAAATAAACCATTAAGTGCATATTGTTTTAAACATTATTAAATATGCAAATAAGTAAATACGGTAATGTGATTTCTGTTATTTTTCTTTCTCAAGTTACAAACTATTTATCGTTCATTTTAAGTTTTACTTGTGCGAAAAACTCATTTTCGTGCAAGTGTTATTATGATAATTATCAGTAACAAACTCATTCAGCTCCGGCACAAAAGCCAGATGTTGCTGGTGACAAAAGACTGGTTGAATCCCTCCATCACTCCAGCAACTGTCCCCAGTCCTATTCTCACTGCACAAATACATCAGCACACGCAGGGACACATTCAAACCAGTGACATTTGGGACAAATTGAGTAAATGAAAGCTCTAACATCAATAGGAGAACATGCTCTACAATGGCCATTGTGCTGCTTCCATAATTGCTTTTTTTAACAAGCTGCAGAGAGAAACAATTTTTTCATATCAACGCAATTTTGCCATGGACCCAGAACAATAAACATGCCAGCTTCCATTAAATGGGAAAAAGGCCAGTTCTACCAGTACTGCATGTTTGTCCCTGTCCGTCTCACAGAATGCTGGTGACACACAGTAGATGATGACAATCCTTTCAATTAATCATGACAGACATTTTTAGATGCAGCTGCAACCAGAGCCTGAAAAGAATACCTCAATGGACAAAAATTGTTGGCATAAATGCATGACTGACCAAGAGGTCGGGCTAAACGTTAAAAAATGATGGGAGTGGGCTGTATCTGCCTGATGTGATCCCAAACAGCAACAATAAATCAGAAATGACAAAAGGCCAAATGTAATTTCCTTTCTGTTATTTGAACATTTGTACTTGACTTATCAAATGCAACAGTATTCAATTTGTGATGAAGGATGCTTGCAAATAAACACATGCACGCATACACAAACACACACACACAGGGACATAGATGTTCTCCGTTCCTTAGCCCCTTACCCTCAAATACATTTGCTTGAACTTGTTTCTTATCCTACTATTTAAATGATCCTTATTGTAATACTAACTCCAAAGTAAACCCTGAACCTCAAAATACCCTCTCACTCAGTGTGGACCTGCACATTTTCCCCAAAAGACAAAGTGTCCCCAAAACTGCAGTTTTTATCAAAAAAAAAAAACAAACCCTCAAGTCAGTATAGCTAAACATGAACAAGAACACACAAATCATACTTTAAGCCTAGTAAAAATAAAAATAGATCCAGCACCGTCACTTCTTTGACACACGTATGTATATACCAGCAGGGGGCAGCATTGTTACAGCTTTGTCATTTGACGCCTTTACTCCTTGCTTAAGGTCCCTGTGTGAGTCAGTCTGACATACTTCACGCAGAGTAGCTCCAGCTACAGTCCACACCTCGACCCCCCCCCCGCCCCACACCTCCCCTCACAGCCTCCCCCCATGAATTATATCTTTCAGTAATATTGGTACAAAACAGACACATTTTAGCGCTCCGTCTTTTTGTCTGATACTTGATTAAACCCAACGACAGAATGGCAGTTGTTGTGGCGTATACAATGCTACAAACTCTTGAAAGATTTATGCCGGCGTCAATATCACAAGGTCATAAACAATTTAGTCCCTGGTGTCAGAACCTTCCCTGTGTGTCGCACAAGACTGGTGAGTAAACATCTACTACAGATGGTAGGTTGCAGAAGTAAAAGCAGCATGTAACATTCAGGGACAAATAGAAATGTGATCCGCTTGACCACACAAACAAACACACACACACACACGGTCTAGCTTCACTTTTATCTCACCGAGCCTCGACTTCCCTACTCCTTATATTAAAGCTAACTAAAAAAAGGCCAGAAAAAAGGGAAGTTGAAAAATTAATGAGACAGGTGTAAAAGAAAAAGGGTTCTGGGTCGGCCAGCAGACTTCGTCTAGAGTTCTTTTGCCATTCTCTGAGCCGTGTGTGTTTGTGAACCAGTGCACTTCTGAGTGAAGCCTGACAGAGAGCCACAGTGTGAAGAGGATGGCATCCCATGGAGAGGTTCAGTGTCTGTCCACACACAGCCTTATTAATCTGAGCGTCCGTCCACACTCTGTGCCATCTTTCAACATCTACCTCCGACTCCTCTTTACTATGGGCTTTTCCCAGAATAGCTAAAGCCATGCCAGGCAAACAGAGCCAACCAGGCATCGATTCCTGGCTAATGTTCACATTTTTACTGTGCCCTGTGACAGCCACTAATCTCATTAATTCCAATCTGATGTCAAACGCAGACTGTGTCTGGCTACCTGCCAGCTCAGGTGTGTACTGAAGAGGATAAACTCAGTCCTGGACCTCGGTGCCAGCATCTGCATCCTCCCTCCTCTCTGTTCTCCCTCCCCCCTCCTGCTCTCTTCCTGTATGGCTTCAAGCATTAGTGCCTGCTGTGCTTGTGTTTTATGTTTCATGTGAATTACATCACAGTACGGCTCATCATACAGACACACACACACACTTTTTATTGAATGTGTAGCCTTTTGTTCTCCTGACGGTTGACAACAAGAACTCTTCTCTTCACACGATACGTTTCAGCGCAAAAATAAATCTGAAAAATGATGGAAAACCTCCATGTAAACTAATAATAATAATAATAATAATAATATGTAACTCAAGATTTAAAAATAACAGAGCAAAAATAATTATACTAACATGGTCAGAGAATAAGTATGTAAAAAAAATAAAAAATAAAATAGAATGAAAGAAGCATGTTCAGAATACCTAATCGTATATTTGTCATGTTGACCAAAACAAGCGTAAGATAATAATAATAAAAAAAACAATCCTGTATAACATACTTGAATTCTTTTAATGAAAGATACAGCAAGTCTTCCATTTTCCCCACAGTGGGGAAATTTAATTTTAAAGAACTCATACAATTCGCAGGTGGGGAAATTTAATTTTAAAGAACTCAATTGCGAATTCGCAATTTGCGGAATTGAGTAATGTTTTCATCTGAAATAAACTGTGAATATTCTATGGCGTACACTTGGTTCTCCTGTAAGCAGCTGGTTATTTCCAGTATGGATTCTTCACTGTTGTCTGTCCTTCCATTCTCTCTGTGGTGACAGAACAACTGTATGTGTAGTTGTTGTTTGTGGTACACACAAGCCCTATAATTACCCCACTGCAGTAACCTGTGTGTTTTATCACGGAACAACAGAAAGCCTTAATGCTTTCTCTCTTCATCAGCACCGTGGCTAAAAGCCCCTCATGCCTGACCCATGCACCGAGGAGAGTGAATTCCCCCAGGAGAGTGATGGATGTGAAGGATCACACTGAGGCGTATTGACAGACACACTCCACCAACTCTGCTGCAGAGTGTAATTTATTCTAAAAAGTGCTCCACATATCGACTATCCCATATAGATGACCTGCTTTGCTGACTCCATAGACAAGATGGTGAAAAATGGTTCATTTTGATGAGAAAGGATTCAACACAGCTTTATGAATGGTGGCTCCAGTCTCTCCACTCTTCTCTGGTTCCTGTCTCACCAGGATGCCAGTCTGTTTCTTTTTTTCCCTTCACCTCTTTCTTCTCGGTTCTTTTCTGACACCAGAATCTTTTCTATGATTAATCCGTTCTATGTACTGCATTGAACCAAACCTAACCTTTGCGGTGTAGGCAGTGCAAAATCGTTTTATTCTCTTCCTGTGAGAGAGGTTGTCTCAAGGACTCAGTGTTCCCATGCTACCAAGCTGTGCCAAGGCCTTTTGTGAATGGATTAGTTACTATTAAGCTGGCGGGCCTGATAAATTAGGATTTACAAAGATTATTACAAAATACTTACGCCCTCCTAATGCTGGTGATTGAATTTGTGAATCACATTGAATTACTGCAGAGGATTACAAACAAGGTTTGTTGAAAAGGTGTGGAGAAATGACTCATTGTGTTTTTTTATTAACACACCAAACATATTGATGCTATTGAAATGATGACGCTATCTGGTCCAGCTGTTTGCAATTCATGCAAAGACAGTTTTCCAAATAACACAACTACAACTGCTATTTTCAGAGATTCTCAGCAACCTTAAGGCTCGAAGACAAATGGATGGTGTACCATTTTAATTGCCTAGTAACACCCTCCAGTGTAGGAATCTAATTATCTCTGGTCCATCGTATTGGAGGAGCCTATAATTGTTTCAATATTACACATCCAAGGGGCTGAAAGTGCAGAATAGCCAGATAATGGCCTCTTAAACAAGTTTGCCTCAAAGAAAACATTCTTTCAAAAAACACCAAGCTTCATCTTGTATTCATTTCCCCAAAGAGGAAGTTAGTATTAGAGGGCAGGACAATATTGACCAGGAACACACTCCATTCATTTGTACCAAACAACAATTTTCTTTACACACACATACACACACACACACATGGCCATCTTTAGTAATACTATGTTCTAACAGAAACATCCACATTGTACTGTATATTTAGAGAGAAGAGGAAATACCTGCGTTGTCATCTTCTTCAGTTTCTTCCTTGACTGTGGAGTTTGGGGACGGTGGTGTGTCGTCTGTGTTCACAAAAATACATCGGAGGTTCAATTTACATCTTTGCACCACATTGACACAAATGACACCATTAGTGTTAATGTGCTGTAACTCTACAAGTACGAGAAATTACTGATTGAGATACAATTTCCCAAGACAATTTTCATTTCGTTTGACGATATAATTTGCATTTTGCAACTGGTTTGGTTAATATTTGAGAAGTCAAATCTCAAAATAGTCAAAAATATTAACACTCTGGGATTGGTGAGTCATTTCGAGGGCATAACTGAGCAGAGTGAACAAATAGTGAAAATATCTATTACAATACAGTACTTTTTGGTCTACAGAGTTTTTTTTTTAAAGAAAACACCAGTGGAGCTTAAAACATCGCTGCATATACAATGCAACATGGACTGCTTCATAAAAGGCAGCCCTGTTTGTGTCTAACCCAAAAGTCATGAAAGAGCAACTTTTTAGACATTCACATATTAATGAATATGGCTTCTAGTTCTGGCTTCTCAGGTATATGAAGTATTTTTTCTTACATAGTAAAATACTTGAGATATTCTTATTGGAAGTGGTTTTTTGCATTTGTAATAATGTTTTGAGCATGTTTAAAGGCAGAAAAGGCCATAGTTTGTCTATGTCTAACAACAGCAGCAGCTTCTGCAGTACATCCTCCTACTTATACAGACAATAATTTCCACCAGAGCTTTACTTTAACAAACCTGTTAGTGCAGGGATTAAGGCAACCACATCTGCAGTGACCTTACTGCTGACCCTGTGCAAAGTGGACCTGATTACAACTCTGGTAGTAATTACAGTAATAATTAACTGTATAGTGTTTACACCAAAAACAACCTGGCGTTCCCTAAACCACCAGCAGTTTGCTTTCTGTATAGTGTTTACACCAAAAACAACCACCAGCAGTTTGCTTCATAGAGGTCAAGAACATCTTTGTGAGGAGGACCTGAGAAGAGTTAATTGGTCAACACTGAGTTTCAGTACAGTATTCCAACTCAACAAACAACTACATCAAGTGGGTAAAGGCTCTTGGTTTTTATTCAGTTGCACTAACAATGTTGGCGTGAAAGCACGCTTAGATCACATTGTTTCTACCTGTCTGACAAAATCGAAAAACTCCGGCGAGGATAAAAAAGGGAGAATGTGAGGCTTTTGAGACCAACTCCAGAGCACAGTGTGAGACAAAACCACTATTCCATGTGAGAATGGTAGTCATTTGAACCTTTGAATAGGCTCCAGGCTGCACTGATTCAAAATCTGGCTGATGGAGCAGAATAAAAGGCCAGTTCTTGGCACTGTGCAGAAACTCATCAAACACAGCCAAACAGGACCGGGATAGGACTGGCATGAGGATACGACGGAGCCAGGAATTATCAGAGGTTATTTCCTTTGGCTCAGTGTGGCCTGCTGCTGTTTGATTATACTGTATGCATTGCACACAGGTGGCCAGGTGCACTGTAGAAAACATAGACACTCAGGTGCTAACAATAGTACAAACTCTGTGGTCCACTTCCTCCAAGCCAAGTCTTTATGATGAAGCCATTACTTGCACATTGTTTCACTCTGGAATATCACATTTTACAGTGCACACATAAAAAAGCCCTTTTATGATCGCCTAAAATTGAGTCTCATTGAAAACACAGATGCGTGTAATTGGCAAATCATAGGGGTGACTTTGGAAGGAAAAACATTTTGATAGCACCCTGGGTCCTACATCTATGGTAATCTGAACACTTCCTTCCATTGACAGTAAAACTAACATTATTCTGTGCTTAGTTGGCTGCACGTGTGCTATCACATCTGCAGGGGACAGCGCAGTTAGAGCCTGAATTCCCATGTACTCAGAACAAAAAAACTTCCCATCAGTTCTTTTTTCTAAGACCTACTGAACCTTGGAGAAAACTGCTGCAGGCACTACATTTCATCAAATGGAATGCACAAAAAAAGAGTAAGTGCTCCTGAGACCAATTGGTTGTATTGTTACTGGAATTCGGCTAATGTACACACTTCCACCGCCAGGCTGTGTGTGTTTGTGCCATTGCTTATTCAGGACATGGCTGTACAGACAAATGTCAATAGTTTATCTCGATAAGCAGTATCTGGGAGTTTCAGGCTCCATGCCAAGATGGTGCAGTGATAAAAGCATTATGCACTGACAGTTGTGTTTGTGATATCGCCTGGCACATGCTGGAGAGGGATGTTGCTCGCCTCTTTCTTTGTCACTCACTTTAGCTGATCTGAAAGCAGCGCGCCTGTAAGCTGGATGAAGAGAATGGTGTTGGGAAATGTTGCTGTGGATATAAGTGTTTGTAATGCAGTGTACCTGACATGGAGTATTTTTAAACTGTGAAGTGTCGAGTCTGGGACTCAACTTGTCATTAAATGAATAAACATTCCATTTCATGCGCTGCATAAAACCTTGCAAATCACTGCCGTGAGCCGAAGCTGTGCCTCTCACCCAGCCTCTGTGTGCGCTTTAATGGGGGTGTTAGGGTGAAAAGACAACCATCAAATGTTCTGTAACTCACCTTCTTTCTGCTGATCCTCTGGAACCTCCATATCATTGTCTGGAAAAGAAAGACAGAATGTCAAAATTTGCAGTTTAATGCATGATGTCATGAGTTATCTTAACTTCTGCACTTCTCTCCTCTCACTGCATCCATTTAAACCACTCAAAAATAGTTTCCTCAGCATGTGAATAAAATATATTTGCTTTTATTAGAAGAAAAGAAAACAGCTAGCCTTATTTTGATGACCTAAACCACTTACACCATCACCCTTCTCATCATATGAGCTGTCATTTTCCAAAATCACACCCAAACTCCTACCCAGCCCCCATGTATTTCCCACCAGACGGCCTTGGATTTAGTGAGTTATTACGCCGATGGCCTGTGTATGTGGGTGTGCGTTTCATAAGACATTCTTTTTCAATTAAAGCTATACTGGTTTGCTCAACATAAACGACACAAAACCTCCCATTTCCTCAAATTACAAGGTGTGCAGACTGTGGTGGAACAACTACGTCTTTGGAAAAAAACCCTTTGATTTTCTCTCCTTTTTCTCCCTGGCTCTATTATATGATGCAGCCTGGGTGAACTATAGGTGTTCCTGGCTGGAAGATTCGAATCACATGGTGGGAGACCTGAGAGAGGCTTTGAATGTTGCTGCAAGAGGAGCTGCAGGGGCACAAGAGAGGAGGGAGTGGATCTGTGGATGCTTCTTTGTGGCTCTCCTCACACACATTCAACTTCCCGAAGATGTTTGTAATCAACGTACATTGTGCATTTTAACACGTATGGCTCGTTCTGTATGCGTTGAATGCTAAATACGAGTGTGGGCACTGTATGATGTACGTGAGTAGGCTGCGCTCCATTCTGAGCGATGATAGCTGCGTCGTTAACAAGCAAAGGCAAGTGTTAGCTTGATGAAAGGCTGTTGTCATCTGCTCTGTGGAATTGTAACCATCAGAACTCCCCGTGGATGCGGCGACAGGCATTTTCTTTTGTATAACACTGAATGAAAGGGTACACCGCATTAATCTAACCCAGCTTGAGGAAACAAAGAAAGGCCCGCTGATACAGTGCAACAATGGCAGGAAAACGGAGCGCCGAGTGTCTCAGCTTCTGCCACATCCCATAATATTACAACTAACATGCCTGTCAACAAAGGGATATTTATTGTACCTCCGTCAAGAGATAAAAAAATGTTTTTTTTATCCTAACAACACCACAGTTCTATGGCCACATTGTTAATAAAGACATCCTTTATTTCTGCTATGAAGATTCCAATTTTACATCTTCACAGTGGAAGTGTAGTTTTATATTAAGAATAGATTTTCATTTCTGAGCTCCATTTTGAACTGGCCTTTGTGTTCACTATGAAAGTTTAAAAAAAATCCTTGGTTTTATCATTTTTCATTTTGTGCTTTAACAAACACAATTTAAAACAACATGAATTGATTCTATGCCAATGGGATAGATACACCACCAAGTCACCAAGGTGCTACAATGACTCTCTTTTCAGGTATTCAGATACTCTGAGGCTAAATACTAAATCTATTCAGCCGTCAGTTAGAACTGAAGAAGCCTTTTGAATGTAGAGGTCAGATGTCTTCTAGAACCCCAGACAGTATACAGACTGTCCGTACCTGATAGGACTGACTTTAAAGAAACCAAAAGATTGTATCTGTCTTTAAGATTTGAAACCTACTGTCACAGAATAACAAGGTCTACTTGACATTGTTATTCTGTCGACTACCAATAACAGGGGGCCGTGACGTCGATTTGCACATCCAAACGTGATGTGTTCACAAATATGATCAATTTGTCATGAGGTCCGAGGTTGGTCCTCATGCCTGTTTAAAGCAGAGAGTCAGACACAGTGCTTTGTGGCATTTACATGACTAACACACCATGGACTCCTCATTTCCCCACCGCCTGGGACGGGCTCACCAAAAGCAGCGCAGACTTCATTTTCACCCCTCACAGACTTCCTCTAACCTTTCATATCCTCCAGAAATTACACGTGCGTGTGAATG